CTGAACCCATAGAACCATAGTAGAACTGCCCTATAGAGTTTCCAAAAATAATCTTTTTTTTTTTTTTAATTTGTATTGTTATTTGGATGGAAGTTTACAGAGCAAATTCATTTTCCATACAGCATTTCATACACATTTTGTCTCATGATATTGAACTACAATTTCCCACAATGTAACAGCTCTCTTTCCATTTCCTACTCACAGTTATCTCTTCCCTGTGTCCTTCCTACCCATGCACTCCCACCCCTGCGCTGTCTCCCTGTGCATATACTGTCCTTCTGTTCTCCCATGATTGAGCTTTCCAAGGAGTGTATCTACTTGATGTAAATGTTCAGCCCATATGCCTGTCTTTTATTTGGCTGGAAGCCACAGGAGTACATTCAGTTCCAGACCTGAAGGGCAGTTAGGGGCCATAGTCTCAGTGGTTTCACCAGGCTCTATCAGACCAGCAAAGCTGGTCTTTTTTTTGTTTTTAATGATTTTTGAGTTTTGTTCCACACTGTTCTAACACTCTGTACAGGATCCCTTACACAGATCCTCCCCTGAATGGTTGACAGTGGTAGTCAGACACCATCTATTTCTTATGGTCTCATGGTCAATAGGCTGAGGATCACATGGTCTACCAGTCCCTTGGACTAATTGTTTCCATGCTCCTTTGGTTTTCTTCATTCTTTCCAAGACTAAGCTTTATGGAATCAGGCTGTGACATCTTTCTCCTACAGAGTCGGTGGTGGGTTTGAACAACTGACCTTTTGGTTAACAGTTGAACACTTAACCACAGTACCACCAGGGCTCCTTAGTGTGTACATAACTTATTCAAAAAGGGCAAGATAAACCTTTATCTGTTTTAAGATTTAATATTCTGATAACACTTAATATTTTGGGGAATTTTGATGACTTTGTCGTACCTTAAAACAACTTTTTTTAAAAAAAAAAAATGAAAGTAGATACAGCATTTATTATCTGAAACAGAACTTTTCCTATTGGTCTAGAGATGAAAAGTTAATTTTCTAACTAGATTTCTTGCTTACTCTGTATGTTGGGTTTTTTCTAACTGAAATAATTTCATGTTATATGTTATTTGTGGTACAAATGATCTATATATTTTTTAGAAGATAGTGACGTTCTGTAGTTAATTTTCATTCTTTTTTCTTGGTGTCATTTTCTATTTAACTTTTTCTAATTTTGAATGCTGTGCCATGGATGGTGAAATGGCACATTCATAATATTTAAAAAAAAATATGCTCCCTAATGCCGTGTATCCACCACTCATCTGTCAGTTTGTTGTATTGTGGTGGTGTGCATGTTGCTGTGAGGCTAGAGGAGCAACTGGAATGCTCCTTGGCGGTGAAAATGGCCAGACTTGGTCTCACCTACTTCGGTCATGTTGTCAGAAGGGACCATTCCTTGGAGAAGGATATCGTGCTTGGTCAAAGTGGAGGGTCAGCAAAAAAGGGGGAGGCCCTCAATGAGATGGACTGACCCAATGGCTGCAACAGTGGGCTCAAGTGTAGCAAGGATTGTGAGGCTGGTGCAGGACCGGGCAGTGTTTCATTCTGTTGTATATAGACTCTAAGTCTGAGCCAACTTAGAGTTTTGAAATTACACAATAAATAAATTTATGTTGATTAAAGATAAACGTAAGAGCACTGGTGGCATACATAAAAGCACTGGTTGTATAGTGCCTAAGGCATTTGACTGCTAACCAGAAGGCTGATGGTTCAAACCCATCAGCCGCTCCTTGCCTAACAACAACAACAACGCCATATGTATTGTAAATGTTAGTATATGTGTGCAAAAACATTTTTAATTAAGATCAAATCAAGATAAGTACATTATCCCAGATTGTTTTTCTTTATAATCTGTATTCTTTTTTTTTTTTTTTCTTTTTAAATATCTTAAATGGCAGTATGATATGGTGCAAACAGTAAATGAGCTTGGCTGCTAACCAAAAGCTTGGTGGTTCAAGTTCCCTGAAGTGCCTTGGAGGAAAGGCCTGGTGATGTGCTTTTGAAAAATTAGCCATTGGAACATAGTTCTGCTCTGACACACTTGAGTTGCCGTGAGTCAGAATCAACTTGACAGCAACTGGTTTCTGATTATCCAAGTAATATAGTATGTAGTTTTTCTTGCTATTATGTTTGATTTATAGAATGCAATCTGATTGAAGGGGAAGATCATGTTGAAGTAAATGGAGAAGTTTTCCAAAAACCATTTGTAGAAAAACCAGTAAGTGCAGAAGATCACAATGTTTACATTTATTATCCAACATCTGCAGGTGGTGGAAGTCAAAGACTCTTTCGAAAGGTAAAGCTTTATAATCCTAATAAAAACTGTTCTTGGTATATCTGTTGTATAAATTTAATTAAAAGCAAATTAGTACTTGATACTGAGAAAGTCATTTGCTTATGGTATATTTAGACAGTAGAAAATTCTATGTAGTAAAAATAAACAGACTTGGGCTAATATGGGTGAATCTTAGAAAACATAATTCTGAGTTATAGTTTTATTTGTATGCTGTTTGGCTTACAGTTATATTATAGCCAAAAATACAGTGTCAAGTATAGAGTAAGTGTGATTAAGGATTTGTGGATTAAAAAATTTTATTTGACAATACCTGAAATGAAAACAGGAGTCCTTGGATGACGTAAGCACTGATAGGTTGGGTATTAACTGATAGTTGGTGGTTCAGAGCCACCTAGTGGTACCTTGGAAGAAAGGCCTGGTGATCACAGCCACTGAAAATTCTCTGGAGCACAGACAGCTCTACTCTGAGACATGTGGGGTTGCCGTGAGTCAGATCAACTCGACAACAGCTGGTTTCATAAGATGGAAATAGTGATAGGATTATATTATAAAAATAAGGAAAATATGTTATACTTGATGGACATCTTTTGTTTTCAGATTGGCAGTAGAAGTAGTGTTTATTCTCCAGAAAGCAGTGTACGAAAAACAGGCTCATATATATATGAAGAGTTTATGCCTACAGATGGTACTGATGTTAAGGTAGGACTGATTAAAAGTATATTTTAATTTTGTATTTAGAATTTTCCACTGATTTCAGAAAGAGGTGACCCTTTAGCTAGCTAGATCTGACATTTGTTCTGTATTTCTTTTTAATCAGGAATTTTTAATCTGTTTTGTGCCATGAAAGCCTTTGGCATTATGAAGCCTATAGACCCTTTTTTTTAGGTTCTCAAATACTTAAAATAAAATGTAAAATTGCATAGAAAACAAATTTTATGGAAATACCGTTAGCAACGTATATAAAAACTAAATTTGGCATTAAATAAGGTAGTGGACAAGGGTCTGTTAACCACCAGAGTTTTCAAGTACTATTAGTATAGATGATATATTGAGATCTGCAGTAACTGTAATGTGATACAAAAACATTTAAGCTTTTTATTGGAGAAAAATAGTCTTAATCCTTTGCTTTAAACCAGTTTTTCTCTAACCAGAGTGTTCTTTATAACCAGAGTATAGGTTTGATTATAAAATTCTTCATGATTCTTCATCAACAGGATAATAACCAAATTCATAAGCCTTATCAACAGGATAATAACCAAATTCATAAGCCTTACATACAAGATGTTTCACAGTTTATCCCTTGTCTATATTAAAACTTCCTTTCTTACAACATAAACTATATCAAATAACTTTTTCTGAATACGTCATGGTGTTTCATGACTTTGTCTTTTGTATTTATTATCTCTTTTGTACTTATTACCTCTAATTGGAGTGGATTTTCTTCTCTTGTCTACCTTGAGCTCCATGCTCTTCTCCCTTCCCTTTTCAAAGAATAATTCTTATGGCAGTTTTGATGGATTGAATTTTGTCCCAAAAAATATATGTCAGCTTGACTGGTCATGATTCGCAGTAGTTTGGCAGTTATGGAATGATGGAATGATTGTCCATGCCCTGGATTCAGACTCCTAGCCCTCTGAACTGTGAGAGAATAAATTTCTGTTTATTAAAGCCATCCACTTGTAATAGTCTGTTATAGCAGCCCTATGCTAGATAACTAAGACAGAATTTGTTACCAGTAGTAAGGTGATACTCTTACTGATACCACATTTTTGGAAGCAGTTTTGGAATTGGGTCATATATTGAAGCTGCAAGACTTTTAAGATGCCTAATAGCAAAAGCTTAAATAGTCTTGCACAGACTGTTGGTGAAATTATGGACATCAAATGCAATTCTGGTGAGGGCTCAGAAGTAAATGAGGAAAGTTGGAACAATGGAGGCAGTGCAGGCAGCAAGAAGCAATGGCAGAGAAGCAACAGCAGCAGAACCAGTAGACCTGTGCAAGACAGCATGGGAGCTGACTCAGTGAGCAAGAGAGCTAAGTGCCTTCGAACAGCGGGCTTCCTGGCAGAGTGAAGTGCCACTTGGCACTTATTGGTGGAGCTAGGCTTGCTGACTCACAAAGCAAGAGAGCTGACCACCTTTAGGCCGAGGCTTATTGGCAGAGTTGGGTGCCTCCAGGCACATACTGGTAGAGCTAAACAGTTTGTAGCATTTCCCTGAATATGGCAGATGATGGGCTGGCCCAAGGGGCCAAGAGCCAAGGAACCAGAAAGCAGAAGCTGAAGAGACAAGGAACATGAGAAGCAGAGCTGCCTTGGTCTCAATAAGTAGGGCCATGATATCTGGGTTCTCAAAAGGCAGATTCACTGCCTTCTGTGTCTTAAAGGGTAGGACTACATACAGCCACCTAGGTTTCAAAGAGTCAGATGTTTACCAACTTGAGTCCAGCTGTGGTTCATGCCAGGAGAATGGAGTTGGAATCACTCTCCAAAACTGAGGGAGCAGAGTTGCCATCCCAGTGGTCCTAGAAGGTAGAGCTGAAGGCCAGGCCATGAGTCCTATACCCAGAATCCAGAGAGCATCGCCAACACACAGTATCTAGAGGGTGGGCCATTGCCTAGGTAGTCTCAGCGAACAGAGGATTGTTTTCAAGACTTGAGACCTAATGTAAATTGTTCTGCTGAGTTTTTGTCTTGCTTGGTGCCCAGTGTCCCTCCTTTCCCTCTAATTTCTCCCATTTGTAATGGAAATGTGTACCTTGTGCCTATTCCACCATTGTAGTTTGGAAGCAGATAACTTGCATTCTGGATTCACAGATGAAGAAGAATTTTGCCCTAGGATGGAATTTGGACATAGAATTGATTTAAGACTTTTGGGGTGAAGTGATGGGATGAAAGTGTTTTGCATTTGGCAAGGACATGAATTTTGGGGGATTAAGTGGTGGAATGACATAGGTTGAACTGTGTCCCCCCAAAATACGTAGCAACTTGGCTAAGATTCTCAGTGTTTTGGCAGTTCTGTAAGGATATAATCATCCCCCATGACGTGATCTAATGCAATCAGCCAATCACTTATAAGGGGATTAGGATGGGATGCAACACCTTTGTTCAGGACATAGCCCTGATCCATGTAAAGGGAGTTTGCATGGTGTGTGACCTGCATCACCATTTATCAAGATAAAAGAGAGAAGCTAGCAGAATGGAGGGACCTCATGACCACCAAGAAAGAAGAGCAGGGATGAAGCATGTCCTTTGGACCCAGTGTCTTAATGCTGAGAACTTCCTGGGCTCAGAGGAAGATTGATGCCAAGACACATGGATATCTCCAAGGGATGCTGAGCCCACAGATGCTGAGAGGAGACAAAGACTTCTTCCCCCTACTCCCACCTAGAGCTGACAGAGAGAAAGGCTCCCCCTAGAACTGATGCCCTGAATTCAGATATCTAGTCTGCTAAACTGTGAGAGAATTAAATTTCTGTTTTGTTAAAGCTATCTACTTGAACATCTGTTATAGTAGCACTAGATAACTAGGGCAGCAGTTATTACCTTCTATAATGTTTTATAATTATTTATATTTTTCTTTTCTTAAACTAAAACAATTTGAGGAGAGAGATCACTACTCACATATCCTAGTATTACCTCATAATCCTCAGGACAGTAGTTTTTTTTGTAGAGAATGGAACCTCACTCTGAAATAAGATTCCAGGACGTCTGGCAAGATGGCAGAATAAGTAGACAAACTACACATTCCTTCTGCAATAGAGAAACAAGAAACCAGTTGAAACAGATACAGAACATAATCCTGGAAACCTGAGCTTTGAAGGGAACGATAGAGAAGTAGATTAAATACTGACTAGTAGAAGAACCTGAATGAAAGCAGTGCATAAGGAGACAGACAGAGCTGTGGACTGCTGGTTGTCCTTATAGCATGGCCAATTTGAATATTTACAAGTGGCATTCCAGTCTGGGCAGCAACCTAAGAATCAGCTCTGCTTGCTGAGAACTGTATGTGTAACTGCACTGGTAGCTGATTAGTAGAAAGGAAATCAGTGCAAAAGAGACAAATAAAGCTGTGGACTGTAGGCTATCCTGAGGGCACAGCCATTTTCAGTATTTGTCAGCAGTGTAGCCATTTTGAATATTTGCAAGTGGTGTTTATCCGGAGAGCAACCTAAGAATAGGCTCCACGTTTGCCAAGGGCAGCATGGCCAATTGCACTAGAGGCTGAGGACTAGAAAGGTGTGATATTCCCCTTGTTACTCTTGTACCCCATACCCACTTATGAATGGAAGTGTGACCATCTCCCACTTCTACCCACCTTCTTGACGGCAGGAATTCCATCCTGGTCTGTGCTCCCTGACAGAACCTGGGTGCCTTGCCCCTTCTTTCCCCTAGTTTTGTTTTTGTTTGTTTGTTTTTAAATTATTGGTTTCTTCTCCCCTCCCCCCCTTTTTTTTTCTCTCTCTCTTTCCCTTCCCTGATTCTTTTTTCTTGTTGTTGTTGTAATTTTTTTCCATTTCCTTTTTTCCCTTTTCCCGGTTCCTTTCTTTTTAAAGTTTCTTTTCTTCTTGGTTCTTATCATACCTTATTTTCCTTTTTTTTTTTTAGTTTTACTTTTCATTTATTGATTTTTTTTTTCTGGTGATTGTTGCTGTTCATTTATTGAAGTTTGTGGTTTTTCTTCTCTTGCTTTTATTTTTTTATGGTGTTTTGTTTGTGTTTTGCCTGAGTGGAAGACAGCAACTGTGGCCACACGACCCAACCATACTCACTCTCCTACAGCTCCACCTGCTGGATAAAGGCCAGCACTTGCTTCTGCAACAATTGACCAACTATTGTTGTTGTTGTTATTGTTATATGCCATTGAGTCGGACCTGACTCATAGTGACCCCTCCTTGGGTTTCCGAGGCAGTATCATTATGGAAGTAGATTGCTCCATCTTCCTCTCAAGGAGTGGCCGGTGGGTTTGAACCACCAGCCTACTGGTTAGCAGTCAAGTGCCTTAGGCACTACACTACCAGAGCTCCTAGATGGTGGCCAGTACCAGCCCAGCTCACCCTCAACTGCTCTTCACTAACAACTAACAGAGATCTGTGCACACACTCATTCTCTGTCATACCCGTTAGGAGACATTGAGTGCCTGAGTGCTGCCAACTACGAGTACAGGAGTTCAGTAGCCTTGCTCACATAGATATATCAAAACAAAGGGAAGAAAAATGAGGCAAATGACACTAACATGCAATCACCAATTAAATATAAATAAAACAACTTCACTTTGCAATATAATCACGTTTGTAACCTCTTCCAATGTTTTATAGTATTTTATATGTAAAATAGATGTATATGTTCATCTTTGTAGCAGTGTGGAGTCTGAACTATTTTTATTGATTTTTTTCATTTGTTGTCTGATGGTGTTAATTTCTTTTCTTTCTTTCTTTTTTTTTTGATACCATTATGAAAGGTTTATACAGTAGGTCCAGATTATGCCCATGCTGAAGCTCGAAAATCTCCAGCACTTGATGGCAAGGTGGAACGAGATAGTGAAGGAAAAGAAGTAAGATACCCTGTTATACTCAATGCACGAGAGAAATTAATTGCTTGGAAAGTCTGCCTTGCTTTTAAGGTAAGAGTGTTATATAGGCTGTCTAAAAATCCTGCTCCCCTCAAGTCAATTCCAACTCATAGACTGGAACTGCCCCATAGGGTTTCCCAAACTGTAATCTCTATGGAACCAGGCTGGCATACCTTTCTCCTGTGAAGCAGCTGGTTCAAATCACTGACATTTTAGTTACTAGCCAAGTACTTAACCATTGTATGACGAGGGCTCCACTATACACACTGTACACACCACAGCCAAACTTTCTGCCATCAAGTTGATTCTGACATAGTGACCCTCATTGGGTTTCCAAGGCTATAGATCTTTACAGAAGTAGACTGCCTTATCTTTCTTCCATGGAGTGGCTGGTGGGTTTGAACATCTGACTTTATGGTTCACAGCCAAATGCCTTAACCACTACACTACCAGAGCTCCTTATATAGGCTGTATACTAATTCATTCACTTCCATCAAGTTGCTTCCAACTCATAGTGACCCCCATTGGATTTCTGAGGCAATAAATCTTTATGGAAGTAGATTGCCCCATCTTCCTTCTATGGAGTGACTGATGGGTTTGAATCATCAGTTTTTTGGTTGGCAATCAAATGCCTTAGGTAGGCACTGTCACCCTTGTAAAACGAATCCCAATTTTCTGAGTAAAAATTATTTGGGCTTATAATTGGAGAAGCTGAGAAAGGAGTCCCTGGGTAGCACAGATGCTTAAACACTCAGCTACTAAATGAAAAGTGATTTGTTTGAATCCACCCAGTAGCACTTCAGAAGACAGACCTTGCAGTCTACTGTCAAAAGATCACACACATACACAAAAACATGAAAACCCAAACTCCCTGCCATCGAGTCATTTCCAACTCATAGCGATCCCATTTGGGTTTCCGAGGCAATAAATCGTTAAGGAAGTAGATTGCCCAGTCTTCCTTCTGAGGAGTAGTTGGTGTGTTTGAACTGCCAACCTTCTGGTTAGCAGTCAAATGCCTTAGGCAATATGCCACCAGAGTTCCTTTCAAAAGATCACAGCCATTGAAAATCTTGTGGAATACAATTCTACTCTGAAATATAGGCTCACTATGAGTGGGAGTAGGAGCTCGGGTAGCGTAGTGCCTAAGGCACTTGACTGCTAACCAGACGGCTGGGGTTCAAACCCACCAGCCATTCCTCGAAAGGAAAGTTGGGCAATCTACTTCTGCAGTGATACCACCTTGGAAACCCAAGGGAGGTTGTTATGAGTCGGATCCTACTCGATGGCAGTGAGTTTGGTTTTTAGGTTTTGAGTCTCTGTTCCAAGAGCGAGTTTCGGAGTCCCTTCTAACATTCATTTT